CTATGCCCTAAAAACTAGTTTAAATTATTTTTATCTGTCTGTCTGTCTTTCTTTATTCCGGGTAATCTTCAAAGACTGATTTTGATAATATTTGACTACCAGGCGTTGTATTTAAAGAGTAACTAAGGCGTTTTTTTTCCTCTCAGAAAAACCCTATAAAATTTTGCCCGGTCTGGGAATCGAACCCACTAAGGCAGCGCTTTTCAAATTCCAAGCGAACGAAGCCGCTTTCACTACACAGTATAAAATTAAAGTACCGTACCGTAAGTAGCAATGTTATGGTTAAACCACCATGTCGACTCAACACTAACGCTTCCTAATCCATATAAAGACATGTTAGAACATATAACATACTATTATCATCTCAAGTGTCTCCAAATACATAAACTTGTTTAAACTGCCGTGTCACGTTGCGAACATCTGCACGCCAGGTGCAATTGTTTTGATATTGTATATCCTTAATTGTATTTCTACTTACTAACTCATTAAATAGTCAAATGTTCTATTCAAGAAACAATTCCTTGTGGTGGCGGTTAGGAATACGGAATCTCGTAAGAGCCGATTAAGACAGCTAAGTACGCAGGACAACAGCACTGCAAAGAGAAGGAAAACTTAAAACAAACCCAATGCCAACCCTTCTGGCCAGCGTGGTATACCATCAGCCTTTAATAGTCAACTGCTGGACATAGGCCTCTCCTTACAAAGGAGGTTTTGGCCTACTATACGGGTTGGTATAGGGTTTGTGTCAAGTTTGTTCCCTTAGTCGGCTCTTACGACACCCACGGGATGAATGAAAGAAAATTCTATACATTCAAATAGTTTACATATAATAATTAATATTGTAAAATACTTGAACTCGTATACAGCAATGAATTCTCGGAATAAATAACTATACTGGTTCGTGAACAATACGGAGTCCTGGGGAGGTGTTCCATAGCTGTCGACACAGCCGGTCGCTTAACTGACATACAAAGGTAAGAAATCATTCGTTTAAAAATGTGTAGATTAATGATAAATTATGAGGTTAAACCACATTTTAGCTTTCGAGATCATTCATCATCATCGATATAATAACATTAACTTGACACATCCCACACACGGCAGTCTGATCCCAAACTAAGCAGAGCCTGTTCTATGGTAACCAGACTGCTGATAAACATACTTATATATTTCTAAATACATACGTATAATAGACTAGCTGAGACCTGGGGTGTTACCCGCGTTTGTTGTTATAACCGGGGCAAGGCTAGTCTAAAAAAAGTAGCCTAAGTTACTCCTTGTGTCATCAGCTATCTGCCAGTGAAAGTCCCGTCGAAATCGGTCCAGCCGTTCCAGAGATTAGCCGGAACAAACAGACAGACAGACAAAAATTGTAAAAAATGTTATTTTGGCATATGTACCGTGTAAACATACATGCATTTAGTAAAAAGCGGTTATTTTAATATTACAAACAAACACTCCAATTTTATTTATTTGTATGGATAAATTACACCCAGACACATAACAAATGATCACATGACACAATATGGGTGGGAATCGGAACTCACTACCTCCGGTAAGCAGGGTCACCAACCACTAGACCAACAGGCCGGTCGGAGTTCACTTTAAAAACTCATAATGACTGACGCTATTGCTAAGAAAAACTATAAAGAAAAAAAACTTCTTACGATAATTGAAATGAATTAAATACAAACTATACAAATTCAATCATTCAGACAATCACCAAATGATTTAACTTTCTTTTACAAATCAGTCAAAATGCAAAACAACAGCATGTATACCCGCATCTACAATAAAAACTATACGATATACATATACTAGCTGACCCGGCAAACGTTGTATAGCAAAACAAAAAAAAATAGGGCTGGGTCACCCTTACCATTTAGGGGTATGAAAAATAGATGTTGGCGGATTCTCAGACCTACCCGATGTGCACACAAAATTTCATGAGAATCGGTCAAGCCGTTTCGGAGGAGTACGGGAACGAACATTGTGACACGAGAATTTTATATATAAGACTAGCAGATCCAACAGACGTTGTCCTGTATACACGTATAAATAAAACTCTATATATAAAGATAATTTAAGTCATCCGTCAGTACATTAACTTCATTGTCATCGAGAAAAATTGTTGACAACATGAGGTACCTAACAAGACCAATCACTGGAAAAGATCCACTATCTTACTCCACCATTCATTTTCCATAACCGCCGACACAAAAAATATATTTCATTCAACATACCTTTGCAACTATCTCGGCTCGCGTTTAATTCAGCATGGATTGCGAGAACATTCCATAGGTATAACCGTGGTCTGTAACGAAACGGCCCATAAGTCTGCTTCGCTAATGAACAATGCTAAAACCGGTGCGTTTTCCATACACGCCGACGGCGATGTGGCGATATTTCGTCTTAGTTGGCCCCTCCATAGCGTACGAGACCTTTAGCCTGTATATATTGATTTAATTCCGAGAAAGCGTTCTATCGTAAATGAATAACTGTTGCTGTGTTCCATTTGTGTCGACATTTTTACTGACACTTAAACGATCGTAAAGTACAATAATAAAATTTGTATAAGAAAGTAATAGGTAATATTACGTTTTATAACTTTGATGATACGATAGGTCCTGGTACTAGATATTAGTAAAAACGATATTAAATATTCCTATTAGGCGGACGTGGACATCTTAACGTGACCACGACCGCTCTGCCAAGAGCGACACGACAAAAAAGAGAAAATGATTAGGTGGAAGGGGTGGGGCGTAGGAGTGGCGTTTAATGCTCTACTAGGACTACTGTTATTGTAAACTATTAACGCACCGGTAGATGATAAATTTCAAAATGATTTTCGGCTATTTGTCGTAGTATCTAAATTAATGCATTATCTGAAGTGATTCAAGGAGTTTTTAAGGTAGGTACAACTGAAATCTGTCGTGTGACATATATTAACATAACAGTTACACCGGTACTACATGTTGTTTTGGGAATTTCACCCCTAAGGGGGTAAAAAAGGGATGAATTGTTGTATGGAAGTGCCCCATTTTCAAAGTTAGAAATACGAAATAAAAAAATAATCACTAGCGAGTATTCACAAATACAGTAGAATTGGACGAATAATGACGGTAAATTATACGCCGAGGTGTATTATTTTTAGTATTTTTCTCGTATTTCGGTAGAATTTCTCATTTGTCAAATATCACAGTTTGTCAAATATGTATTGAGATTTTATGCCATAAACATAATACATCTAAAAAAAACAGCATTAACGTCTGTAGATAAATCATAAACACCCAATTTAGTATACGTTCTTAAATTATTGGTACTGTCTGAGATTTACTCTTAGAGAAAACAGACAGATACAAGGAAAAATATATATTGAAGAGTCAAGACAATAAGGCAAACTTCAAATCACGATATTTTTGTGCCTTTAGAACCTAACAAACACTTTTGCACTTACGGCAACTTAAAAACTATAAAATATACTCGGACTCCCTACAACGATAATATAAAATACTATCTGTACCCTTTTTTTTTTTTTTTTTTTTTTTTTTTTCCGTGCGGAAATCCCCTCGGATACCACCTGTCGGTGGCATGTCGGACTCGAACCGACTAAAACCGCACGCCTTCGCCGGGTACTAATAGCCGGGGAACCAGGTATACCCTAGAAAGGAAGGCCCTGGTGCCCCGACATACCTCGGGTCATCTACAGACGAGTAGACGACCCCCGCCCCGTGTGGGAACCCCATGTTCCCTGTGCTCCCTGGAAGCGAGCGCGCTTCGCAACGCGCTCGCCGCCACCCCGGCCTGCTTCTGCTAGGGTGACAGATGGCCTCACCTGTCACCCCCAGGCCTGCGCTTATGGAGGACGAAGGTCGTTCTGCGACCTCCGGCGCCTGAGTCGCCTGCGCTGCCTGGCCCGTGCCCGGGCCTGGCGGGCCGGGAGAGTTCTAAACCTCTCCCGGTCCCGCTCCGCCGTCTCCTTCGCGAGCATAACTATCTGTACCCTGACACGCTTCGCTGTAGCATATTAAAATTGCATTGATGAGAAATGAGGAACAAAATCGACGCGAAAATGGATAAAAACAATCCTTGAAGCGGTTTTTATATTTTATATCGTGTCATTTGAGCTTAATCGGTGCAGAACTTTTTTAAGTTTTTGAAACGTATACAAACCAACTTAACATTTTTAGATATAAAAAATATAATTTCATGTACATAGTATATTACAATCTGTTTACTTAACTTACTTACATAATGATATCTGACTTAAGAGTACAGATTGTCATAAATTGTATGCAAAATTTCACTTTTATCCTCTCACTGAGCGGCGAGCACTTGAAATAATAACTAATGAGGTTGATTACCCCGAATTGTTACTATTTCGAAGCTGTTGGTTTTCCTTTCAATAAATGAGTAAAGTTTTTTGAGTCATTGATTTCGAGACGCTCGATCACTGCTTTTTATTATCACTTTGTTTTTGTTATTATATTAGGTACTATACGTAAACTCACTAAGTGAACTGCAATGTTCTTTGCGTAATAATAAAGTTCTTTAAACATAAATTCCCTCGACTTAACTCCCATCATTTTACTGAGCAGCGTGTCGGACATATTGGAAACACGCCGCACAAGCCAGTTCAAACTTTATTGGTTCACGCCAATCATGAGCGCGTAAAGTTCAACAATGCGCTGTTCCAAGAATTGCGTGCTTGAGAGTACGAGGCCATATATGGCCCTTAAACCTATATCGTATATTTTAAACTAGAATATCTTTTTATAAGGATTCCAGTTAGACAGTAGTCAAAAAGAGTTGTTCTAAGTTTGACGTGTATGTGTCTGTCTGTGGCATCGTAGCTCCGAAACGAATGGACCGATTATGATGCGTTTTTTTGTTTTAAAGTTGACGTGATCGGGATGTGTTTCATAACGATCGGTCGAGCAGTTAAGACTGAGAAGAGTAACAAACATACGAACAAGTCTACTTTTGCACTTCCAACATACCTGGCGTCCAGAAATATAAGTCGCATGTCAAGTGAAGCTCGGAACATGAACATATTGGAGTGCAGCTTCAGCTCGGTGACTGCTGATGGTGGCAGCGAGTGTCCCACAGCGATGAGGCCCAATGGGGCTGAGCCCTCGCCAAAGCGACGGGCGCGAAGATAGCCCGAACAATGGATTACCTGTGGAGCAATTTGGATTTCAGACTATATTGAAGTCAGGGGGCTCCTGACTTTACTTAAACAGTCAGTTTGAGTTGGAGCTGACTGAACTACGCGTGATATTGCTTATAGTACCTTCACACAACACACACATCACACATTGATCCACAACTAGGCAGAGCCTGTACTATAGTAACCAGACTCCTGATAAACATACTTATATATACAAATAAATCAAATTGAAGTGTCTGTTTGTAATGACAAAATTATTTGGTTATTTTCATGCTCACACGGTTATTTGCACGATACCTATGCCTAAAAACCAGTTTAAATATTTTTGTCTGTCTGTATGTGTGTTGCGGGTTATCTTCAAAACGGCTCTTCCGATTTTGATAATATTTTACTACCAGTTCCGTCTATATAAGTAGTAACTTAGGCTATTTTTCCTTTCAAAGAAACCCTATAAAATGTTGTCCAGTCCGGGAATTTAACCCGAGGTCTCATGGAATGCTGTCGCATAATGTACTACACCATTAAGGCAGCGTTTAATTTGAACAAACATTTTCAATGCAAATTGCAGGTACCAGCTAATATATTACTAAACACATACATATTATAGATAAATAACACCCAGACACAGAACAACTGATCGTGATAATCACACTATTATTTGTTCTAGGTGGGAATAGAACCCACGATCTCTGGCTTTTAAACGCAACGCACTTATGACTCGTGATTTGTAGGTATCCCTGGGCAGGCGCGGCGTCGATCCGGGGGTCATCATGGTCCGGGTCCTCCTCGGAGTAGGGCGCCCGAGTACGGCCGTCGGGATGGTTTTTAGTGGAAACACCATATACTCCTGGCTCCTGAGTCCCCGAGGACTAGGAGATCCGAAGGGATTTTCCACCCCGTCCACAAAAAAAAGGTGTCTTACTCACTTCCCAATAGGTGACCAATCCGCAGTCTCTAAAGATCAATTTTAATCTACATTTAATGCACAACGTATCTAATTTATTTAATTGGATAAGGAATAATAATTAATTAATTAAAAAAACTTCGTAAATAAGCCATTATGTTTTTGTAATATTTAAAAGATAAAACCATACCATCCTGAACTTTTATGTAGACCTTTTTAAGATACACAATTCCGTAGTACATTATTTTGGTCTATCTTGTAAGGATTAGCCAGCATTTGCAATGTTGGCGCGCAAAACCATGTTTTTAACGACAAATCTTTGAAATTCTCGGATTTCCTATACTAAAAAGAAAAAAAAAAAAAAAAAAAAAAAAAAAAAAAACTTTATTCTGCAAGAGAACAGCATACAACTTAATATAACTAACTTGATACTAACCTTATACAACTACAATAATATTACATTTTTTTAAAGTGCAACACTATACTACGCTATCTGTGGTTTAGTAGTCTATGAGACTGTGATCATATATGACGTGGCGCTGACGCGGTGATCACTATTATTTTTGGTACTATGTTTTGCCACATAGATAGCTTGTGCGGATGAGAGTTGTACGCTGTGTCCCACAGAATAGGTGGACCCTCAGCATTTACTGTGATGGACATGGTCCATCCCAGTACTGATTTTCAGTGCCCACCAGAATTACTGATTTGACGCCGACAGCCGCAATTACCACTGGATATCTCTTATGTGCTGCTTGTGATGTCATGTATGACACAAGGACTGGATTTGGTAAGTAGGCTATATTGTAAAAACAACTTAACGCTAGCACAACAAAAAAAAACAACCAAACTTATAAAACTACAATTGACTGTCACGTATTAACTACAACTACAACTAAAACTAAAACTTATCGCTTACTGTATGGTTATTATTATTATACCTATTAACTTACTAACTATCCTCTATTTTAGGTTTTCAAAATTGTGAAAGTACGCAAAGAGAAAGACACCGCACAGTCCGCCGACCCATCTCAATCAACCCTCCGTCTGGAGCACCAAGCTAAAATTGGAGTGTCTGTTTGTAATATTAAAATAACCGCTTTTTACTAAATGCATATGTATGTTTACACGGTACATATGCCAAAATATTTTTTTTTTCAATTTTTGTCTGTCTGTCTGTCTGTCTGTTTGTTCCGGGTAATCTCTGGGACGGTTGGAATGATTTCGACGGGACTTTACTGGCAGATAGCTGATGACATAAGGAGTAACTTAGGCTACTTTTTTTAGACTAGCTTCGCCCCTCGGCGTTGCCCGCGGTTATAACAACAAACGCACCATCTATTGATGCACCGTTTTAAAATCTGTTGCTTAGTTTAGATCTAAGCGTACAACGAAATAAGCGACTTTATTTTATATTATGTAAAGATTGAATTGAATTATGGGATTATAGCAAATGCAGTAGGGGATTGAAGACAGCGAGTAAAGTTTGGGATTCGAGAAACAATTCAAAAATACGACAATACACAGACGCGTGTCTATTAATGCTGAGTAGTGTTTTGATTCGACCAATTTGAGTTGAATGCTAAAACAATACGGACACGTGAGCATATTGTGAGAGTGAGGACCCTCCAGGGACCCTATTGTACCCGTTCGATTGTACAAATAGGGTAAACAAGCGTAACAGGGTTAGGGTGATATACGGATTAATAGATTTAATTGGGTTGCCTGATTTTTTAAAGTAAATTTTTATGGTAATATTTCGAGCGTTGATATAATTCAAATATGTTTTTTTTATTACTAAATGTTTTTTCAAGTTATAGGAGGCCAAAGACGCAGACGGGTTATTATGTCTGACTACTGCCACCCACGGATCCCTGCAATTCAGGAGTTACAAGTCCGTTGTGTTTAGAAGACAGAGGTCGTGGGTTCGGTTCTCACCCAGGACAATAATATAATAATTGTGTGATTAGAACGATCATTTGTTCAGTGTCTCGGTGTCTATCTATAATACGTATGTATTTAGAAATATTTAATTACATATATTTTTCTAATTCTGCTGTTTATCGACAGGATATTGAGACGCTATTGACAATGGTAAAAATAACGGTATTCTACTAACATAAATTCACAGTGTCAAAAGACTGTCGATGTAGTGACAATGGCTCATCAATGGTGATTTCAACAACATTTCCATATCTGTAGATTTTTTTTTTTTGTTTTAAAGACAACGCCCGCATTAGGAATAAATCCTGTGTAGCGGGGGACTTTACAAACATACATGAAACGGACACAAAGAACACCCAGACTCAGAACAACAATTTGTGGATCACACAAAGTGTCGTCCCATGTGGGGTTTGAACCCACAACACTCGGCGTAGTAGGAAGCGACGTGGCGACCGCTTAAACCACTACGCCATCCGTGCAGTCAAGTCAATATATCATTTCCTTACAAATTTAAAATGTATGGTTTACCAAACTATTATAAAGACTTCGACGACATTTGTATCAGTGGCAGTTCAGTGACAAGTCGTCGGGAGGCCATTGGTCATACATAGTTAGTAGAATACGAAAAGTGCAAAACTATTCCGACGATATTCCATCGACTGTCTATTGATACAATATTAAAATAGCGGAATTGGGACACTGGGGACTGGTTACCACAGTACAAGCTCTGGCTAGTTTGGAATCTGCCGTGTGTGAGATGGGTCAAGTTATTATAGAGGACCAATAGCTGGTTGCTGGCTTTGGTCTCCGTTTACTGACTGAGTGAGGAAACCCTCACTCAGTCAGTCAGTAAAAAGCTACGAAAGAATTACTAAAGAACGGTTCCTGTGAAGCAAAGGGTTTCTGTGGTGAATGAACTAAATAAAAAAAAACGACTGACCTTATATCCTGAGGTGGTGAGGCCCGCGTTCCTTTTGGCGAGAACGCACTTCATTCTGATAAAGAAGGCCCTTTCGCACTCGATGTCAACAGTTGGACCCCACGTCCCACCCACTGGGTACCTAGAACGTGCGATTAGTTCAAACATGTTTTGTTGGCTTCTTAAGTTTTACACCACTAAGATGGTATCACAAGGCGCCTGTCGTTAGTGGTTTTTATATTTATTAAAATAATATAGGTTTTGTCATAAATTATTATTGAACAAATGACCGTACTTTAGGATGGTGTGCGTGCAAATGGAGTCTTTGTAGTGACAACACATCTGGCACACACAAAAACAGTGTAAAAGAACTTAGTGGCCAACAGCTGGACACTATGTTTATAATGCTGGTGTACGTGTAAAACAAACGTTTACACTGAGTGTCAACACAGCGACAGCGGAAACGAACTTAGTGGCAAACAGTTGGACACAATTTTTTTTACGCTTTCATAGTGTATCATTGATGCAAGATCTCCGGGCCGGGTGACAACGTCCGGGTGTAGAACACACGCGGACGTTGTCACCCGGCCCCGAGACCCCTGTTGGGTATTGCTAAAATACGGGCGAGAGAAAAACGGTACATTTCTAATATACATTATTGACTAGCTAGTGATTCTAACTTAGAAAATGACGAACTCCCATACAACTGTTCATCCCTTATTTTACCTCTTAAGGGCAAAATTGTCATAAATCCTTTCTTAGTGGGTGCTTACAATATAAAAAGCATCCGATGTTAAAATGTCCACTTTGCAGCCCCAGTAGTTAAGGCTAGATGAGTCAGTTATTCAGTCGAGGCAAGTAATAGAATAGAATAGAATTGAAAGAAGAAGAAGAAGAAAGGATCTTCTTTATTGTACACCAATTACAATATAAATATTAATTATAATACAAAAATAACAGTGTGTAATTTTTAATTTTAATGTATAGATTTCAAACTGAGAATACTCACCCGAGACTAGGGTACTGGTGTCCTAAATACGAATGAGGATGCTGTAGATTCAGAACCGCTGTCATCTCGTCGTGATCTGATTGATGGATGTATTCGTATATTGAGTTGCCCGTTAACTCTACCTGTAGAAAAGGTGCATGTAGATTTAAAAGATCAGAGGGAGAGTCTCTTAGAGAGATCAGGAGAGATCAGACTTAGAGTCAGGCTTCAGTATGGTTTTATGCCTCTTACAAATCTCTATCCGTGTTGATGGATTAAGAATACGTAGTATCATCACCCCTATTCATGCCGTGGGTATCGTAAGAGCCAACTCAAGGAGCAAACTATACAGCACTTCAAAGTTAAGGAAATCTTGACAGAAACCCTATACCAACCCGTCTGGCCAGCGTGGTATAGTAGGCCAAAACCTCCTTTCTAAGACGAGGCCTATGTCCAGCAGTGACAAAGTGGACTATTAAAGGCTGTTGATAATGATTGATGATGACAAAAATGCTCAATTTCCTCACTTGACTCAATCCGAGGTGGACAGAAGCCGTTTCACTTATGTACATGATCTTCCCATCTGGAGCGACAACAAAGATGAAACCGTCCAGGGTCTGGAGAAGATGTGATCCCAACTCTCTGATGGATAGCTCCCGAGGTTGTGGTGGAGGTGGAGCCGCACCCCAGGCGTCACCGAGACCTGAAGCAATCATTCGGTTAGAGCAGGGATTCCCAAACTGTTTTGGGCAAGAGACCTCTATTCTAAAATGAACTGATACCTTTGACCCGCACAGCCTACTAACTTTGTTACAATCTAGGTAATTCTGGTTCAATATAGGTGAGTTGTAACCTTATGTCTGGGCTTGAACTTGATCATAATTTTACTCTCGTTAAGTCACCTAAATGCTGGGTGCATTTAGGTGACTTAACTTATAATATATATATAATATATAACTTTGCATACAGAGCAAGTCAAAACGTGCATAGACTTGTACACCCGGACTCATTGTCTTGCACGAACTTGTCCACTCTTATAGACTTGCCATGTTTTTCATCTCATGACTCAAAAGGCGGCAACACAGTTGTGACTCTTGAGGTGCAAGTGTCTATGGACGGCGGTAGTCACTTACCATCAGGTGACCGGTTTGCTCGTTTGTACCCCTATACCATAAAAAATAGCGTGAGGGGTCTATGGCCACCGGTCGGAACGAAGTTCCTTTCGCTTTTTGGTAGACGTTTGTTATATAAATGCAATTAAAAAAAAGATCTACGCGTCAATTTAAGTGTCGGAAAAAAGTCTTGTTACACATTTTTCCTTAAGTAACTTCTTTCCCAAAGAAAATGATGAGGAATGATAACCTTAGGCTAAGCTTAGAAAGTTCACGCTACCCTCGGGAATACACAATACAATAAACGCCAGCGAAAGTGGAAGGAACGACTGGTATAGTTGTCACTTATTAAATAGAATACCGTCAGGAAAAACTTGTCTCATCTTCAGGTAGCTCGTTGTCAATCTGATAACTGACGCTTTGTCCAGCTGCGACGTGATGGCAGAAGGTAGTGGGAGAAGTTTGGCAAGTTCGAGGAACTCTGCGTTCTCTTTCTCTCTTCTGGAGCGTGCGGCGTTCTTGCTCTTCTCTTTCATGATTGCAGCCGCGTCGAGCGGCTTGCTGTCTTTGCGAGAAGCTGGAAAAGAAGATTCCTTTTTTAATCATCAGAACGGTCCATTGGTCTAGCGGTGACCTTGACTGCTAAGCTGGAGGTCGTGGTTTCAATTCCCACCCATGATAAATCATTGCGTGATGAGCACAATTATTTGTTGTGACTGGGTGTAATTTATCTATAATGTATGTATTTAGAAATATATAAGTATGTTTACATGGTTACCATAGTATAGGCTCTGTCTAGTTTGGGTTCCGACGGCCGTGTGTAGTTATGATTTTTTTTGAAGATTAATTGTCATTGTAAAGGCATTTGTACCATAACAAGTCAAAATACTGGACCCTGTAACTATATGTGGCTGCATATTGTTGATTTTTCAGAGATAAAAGAATCCTATCTGCTATTCAAACCTATTATTTAATCTATTTCTGCTCTAAATATCATCCAAAGCTTAGTTTAGTCGATCTGGTTCGATGAAATCAAAAAAAATCCATCCAATGTTTGTAATTTACGAGTATACTAGAAGTAAGATTATAAAAGATGCAGATATACTAAGGTACGAAAAAAACTTGAGCCGCGGGACGTCTAGCAGACTTAATCATCATCATCAACAGCCTTTAATAGCCTACTGCTGGACATAGGTCTCTCCTTTGAAAGGAAGTTTTGGCCTACTATACCACGCTGGCCAGACGGGTTGGTATAGGGTTTGTTTCAAGTTTTCCTTCTTTTTGCAGTGCTGTTGTCTTGCTTAGTTTGCTCCCTTAGTCGGATCTTACGACACCTACAGTATAAATAGGGGTGGCGACACTCCGTATTCTAATTCGTCACCACACACACAGGCAGACGTGAAACATCATAATTAGTTTGAAAAAAGAAAATAAGTATAATAGGATTGCTTATAAAAGGAAATAATAAATATAGTACAATGTAAATTATAAATTTCAGTTTTTTTACATCAAAAGATTTATTGTTTATTTAATTTACATTTAAATTAATGGTAATAGAGTCGCAGAGTGTTACATATACTATCACATAGGGGCGACGCGTCGCCACGGCAGCAGCCGGTCTGACCCTTTGCATTAGATTTTATACATCAAAAATATTTACAAATCAATTTTACGACTTATATTTGTCTAAGATGGACGACGCTCGTATCTAGGGTATAGTATGTAATACACCTTCTAAGCCATACAATAGCGATTTGCATAATTGTGTGTTTATAATGTTGATTTAAATGTGGATTTAATAAGGTCCGCAGGCATAATACAAAAGAAGTTGTTTTAATCTTGACCACAGATTAACTGAAAACAGCCATGAAGAAGATCCGGCTTTTTAAACCGTTTTTAAATACTCTCGCCATCTTAAACGGTCTTCAAGAAATAAGTAAAAAAAGTAAAAAACTTTTTCGATGACAACACTAAAAAAGGAGTGTGCACAAAACCAAATCCATGACCTACCCCACATAGAGAAAACAAGTTCTAAATTATACATTCATAAAATTATAATCAACCTTGCTAATGACGCTATGCATATTTATGGCAAGACGGCGCATGATACCTTTGGCTCAGAAAAATAATAAACCATAGAGTTTGGCGGGAAAACAACAACTTATGAATTATTCAGCACAGATAATATTTACAAATGAATGCGTATTTTGTATCTGTCTACGGTGTTTTTGGAGGGTGGAAATAAGAAAAAGTGTGTTGCCAGATTGCTGGAGTCATAATAAGCAATTGTATATTTTTTTCTGTAAATTCAAGAAGTTACTGTACATTTTTATTAAGGGACGTTCCTTACACCCTGTATTATGACGCCAAGTATATTTAATACCTAGATGGTTACACTTTCTTAAATGTTATGTATGTAAATATATTCCTCACATATCGATCAATTTATACGTCTGTGTCTGTGTATCTGCTCTGTACCTGTGTATGTGCTCTAAAACTCATTAACCAATTTTGATGTACCTAATTTTTTTATTTGTAAGGTAAATTGATCAAGAGCATTAATCTATTCGAAGATTATAAACTCCTTAAATGCTGATCATATTTTTGAGACAGAGTTCTTTTAAATTATTAATTAATTTACAATAATTGCAATTTTTTATTAACAACTATGTATATTAGACAGAAACTATCCAAACCACAAACTATCCTAAATTGAAGTATTGATGTTAAACTATCGTGCATGAAAAGTATTTTTACTTTTTATTATAAATAAATACCTTTTTATTATATTGATTTAAAATATATTTAAATATAAAATGATATACAAATTTACACGACCGCACTTTTCCAAACGCTCTGCCTTGACAAATTAATTTTATCTAGTTTGGGAACGGAGCATACATTTAATTAATTTATTAATGAAAATATAAATATTTTTATAGCATAGGAAGCAAGAGGCAAAGGACTAACATCATCTTCACCATCATCAACAGCCTTTAGTAGTCCTAAACCTCCTTTCAAAGGAGAGCCTTCTTCATTTTGCAAATGCTGTTGTCCTGCGTAGTTTACTCCCTTAGCCGGCTCTTATGACACGGGATGAATAGGGGTGGTGACACTCCGTGTTCCTTATCCGTCACCACACGGATAGGAGATAGGAGTAAACGGTTCACCTGCTGGTAAGTGACTTCTGCCGCCCATGGACATCTCCAACTCAACAGATACAAGTTGCGTTGCCGCCCTTTGAGTAACTTGCCCTCCAGCGTTAGGGAGGGGTAAGGGGGGGGGGGGAAGTGTTGGCTTCCGGTACTTAAAGAATTAGTTAAAATCGGATTTCTGTGACGCCGTGGTATTACTCCGGACGACTCGCCCCAAGTATATAGCTCTATTCAATTATATTTCTTAATAAGGTACTAGATATAAATGAATATCTTTAAGAAGTCCGATACATACAGTAATATAATGTTATTTCGAGAGTAAAAATGCTCCCCTATTGTTGCTGGCCACAAACAAACATTATAGCATATGGCCTTCATTTATAAGCGCCATAAACAAACGCACGATCGGATTCCGCGCGTTCCGTTTGCGAATTTGCGCGCGAATATGTTTGTTTTACGGCTAGAATGGCGGACGCTAGTCTAAATAGGCTGGTATGCAAATAGAATTATGATTTTGTAAAGATTTCTACACTACAGAGTTGGTAAACGATAATAGTGTGATTTTAGATGTTAATAGCTAAGGTGGCCGGCTAGAAAATCTTACAATCCATCTTGAAGGACAAAAGGAAGCAGCTAAGCTTTTAGTTAGGATTACTTTTTGATATTTAGGATTTACGTTGTTCTATTTGTTTTTGCCAAACGTAGGTTGTCGAAAACTAGGAATATTTGCTAAGCTATTAGAATGTACTTTTAGTCGATTTAATTAAGATTTCATTAATCGAATTGTTGATTATATCCCACAATTAAAAAAACCTCTATAATCAGTGGATAGTTCTAGCTGCACTGAGTACGACATATACCTACCTACCTAGAAAATTTAGATTTCTATTCTACGTTGATGGTAGTATTTTAAATAACTACTTATCAAAGAAAAAATGGAAGTGACCCTTTCGCCTGATACTAATTTTATTTCCAAGTCTCTGCAAATAAAATTGTTGCCTTTTTTTTCATTGATTTTAATTTTTATAAACAGTTAAGTAAATTACTGTTAATTAATTAGTATTTATTTGTTTATTTTGCGTTAAAACATAAAGCAATATAAGCCAATTTTTTTTAGTAACAAAACGTGGGCGTTTACAAAATAATATAAAAAAATATTTTTTACACAATCTTTTATAACATTTGTTTTTTTTGTTGTCTGGTTCAGGTGACGTTGAAATTCGGCGCCAAATTGAAAGTAATAACAGACAAATTTAATAAGTTGACTAAATTACTAAAATCTGATCGCAAAATTTCTTTTTAGACTTATACACAATGACTTTTAGAGTTGATATTAGAATACGACACGTCATGTACTAAACCACTAACTTAGCTTCTAAATTAAAAAAAAGAAACTTACTAAAGTTCGAATCAAATTGCACCGCACATTTTGTAAATACTTTCTTACACGGATATTTCATTGTCCTTAATTAATTCATGGAGGCACTTAATTGTAACACTTATTTATCAGAATACGTAAGTTCGGAAGTCAAACATTGAAATTGCACCTTACACTAACAGATTCCGACACATACTGTCTGCATCCACCTTCTTTCCTGTGTCCATTTCCGAAATAAAAAAAAAAACAAATGACAGGTACTCACAATGGCGCGAACATTATTGACAATAACAGAGGACATTTTATAGTTAGGTTACGTCACCGAAACTCGAAGTGAGATAAAAACTTATGAAAAGACAAAAGGGTTTAGAAATAATTAGTTTTTATGGTGATCGTTATTACATATGTTTTGTAATAATATATGTAAGTGTTGGTTAGTGTAATAATTTTATTTTACGTAACAGAGGTACAGATAAGTCGTTTTTTTTGCAATCTGTTTATATTATACTTACGGATAAAAGTTTTGACTAAAGAACCAAACACATTTTTACATTAATAATATAAGCATATGTGTAATAAATACTAATACTTAGTGCATACTGAAAGTTTCTGGATTCTGATAAATAAGACTAGATATAAGACTTACGATACATTTATTATTTTTCAAAGTATATTTCCTCGCAATTAATGCATTTTGCATTCGCTGAAACCACTTTACAAAGCAGTCGGACCAGTCTTAAATTACTGTAAAAGTTAAGTCACGCGGTATCCATCGAGTGCAAAGCTTCCGAACCTTCAGATGCACATGTAAAATGTTTTGCAATTGGCTCATTCCAATGCCTAACAAAGCACGAGTCACAAGTCACAACGCCCAAAAGTTCCATTTTCGAATTCCATAATTGTTTTTTTTCATTCTTTTATTGTAAGTATCCAGATCCAGACACTTTCAGTATGCCCCACGTAGTGTGTCAACTCAGCTACTTAGAGGAGCAACACTGGGGCGTGGCATGAAAGAGAGCATAGTCCTCCTTCTGCCCGCGATGTCTGTGGTAGTACCCGCTGGCTTAGCTTGCTAACTGGTCGCATGATTTCAACACAAGATTACCTGCAATATTTTTATTGTTTGATTTACTCACAGTAGTACTATTATCTCTATACTTTACTAATAATATAATATAATAAAAGAGAAAGAGCGTACAATAAAACTCTAGATGAATTTGGTGGTTTAATATACATTCACATATAATTACAAAAATACTTATATTACTGTTTTATTCATGTTTAGATTTAATAATAAATAAAATTAGTAAATATGGCTATGTTAATGACATATAATTTCATTAATAACGTGATTGAAAGCTGCAGCATGCTGCTGTGGTTGTAAGAATTCAATTTTAGCAAAAAAAAATTGCAAGTTCTTATTACCTCACCGAAGCTAATAAAGAGGAGAAAATAACCAGATAAGAACCCTTAAACCATATATCGTGACAGCATTCTGTTATAAGTGTATCACAGTTTCTGTAATTCACGTCCTCGTAAGAAGTAATAAAGGACTACATAACTCCTGGGCCTTCAAAACGTAACCTTAAGTAACTTTGGGTTAGACGAACATTTATAAATATAAAGATTGCAGCCATTGCAGCCAGATTACTCTTTGTGCGGTACCTACTACTCGTATATCTGACAACTCTCAACTACAGTGGTGGGAGGACTGGTCGGGTTCATCACTCCCACTACCAGTAGCAACAACGGCTTGTTGCTACTGGTAGTGGGATTGATAGTGACATGGGCAAAAAAGGGTTAACATATTGCAAAGTTAAGCAATCCTAGCCAGGTTAGTCTATAGATGCGTGGCCATTCTTAATAGATCGAGATCCTTCTGTGCCTCGGAAAGTACGTTAAACCGTCACTCCCCGTTACCAGAGAAAGGCTCGGAGAAAGAGAAGTGCAGTTTAATTTATTAAACTATAGACACAAATTTAAGCATAACGACGTTTTTCTTTACGCAACATAAGCTAAGAATGTCTGTATTAGGATAGAGCCCGTATAGTTTTGACAGGAGTCGATTGAATCATATTGTGACGAGATAATGTTATGTAGAGATTATCTGATTGTAAGGCGGTTAGCTGTCCTTGCAAGGGATTTAAAGTTTATTTGTATTCTGCGGGTGTCTTGTGCCGTTTAAACAATATTTTTTGTACATTTTTATTATCTGTGTTATAATAATGTCAAACTTAGCATGTTCTTATATTTGGTAATAGGCAAAGGAATCAAATCGGTCACCCCTACGTAGTTTGGACATTGAAAAGTAATGTTGTTTTTGCATAAAGGTGTTTTCACCTTTAATAAATTTATAAAAAACATTATATCTAGTTTTTAAGAAATATAATAATATCAAAGCACCAAAACCGCCGTATATTAGATTACGTAAGGGCACCGTGATAACTAATTTTATCCACAACTAACAATTGATTAGTCAACAAGTTAGTCTGCAAAGTTATATTTATAGAGGTAAGCTTATTATACAATTATCATGTCGCGGTGTTTGTTACCAAACTCCTCCGAAACGGGTGGACCGACTTTTTATGAAATATTGTGTGCATATACCCCTAAAAGATAAGGGTGACCCACCACAAAAATTTTATTTTCATTTTTTAACTTTTTTTTTTATTTTTATTTTGATTTAGCATTAAAAAATACACACAACTTCAAAATTTCAGCCTTAAATAATGTATATGGCAAAACAATATTTACCTCTTCAGCGTCCATTTAAAATTATTTGCTCTGACTGTCTTATCAATGCAGAGCCTAAACCGCTGGGGCTGCAAACTTGACATTTTGTTTTTTTTTATTGAAGAGGGGTCAAACCAACAGATGATAGAAATCGACTACCGCCGCCCATAACGCCTGCAACTCAGGAGTCACAAGCGCGTTGCCGCGCGGTACGCTCTTTGCAGCTAATGCTTTTTATGCAAGCACCTACTAAGAAAGGATTTTTGGAAACTTCACCCCTTTTTTTTCTGTGCGGAACTCCCCTTTGGATACCACCCTCAGTGGGTGATTTTGTCGGCCGTCTCCAGGCACCAGTAGCCGGGGAACCAGGTATACCCTAGAAAGGAAAGCCCTGGTACCCCGACGTACCTCGGGCCATCAACGGCTTACATATGATCCCTCCTTTTTCTTTTCTTTTTTTTTTCCGTGCGCAAAACCCCTCGGATACCACCATGGTGGCATGTCGGACTCGAACCGACTAAAACCGCACGCCATCTCGGGTACTAATAGCCGGGGAACCAGGTATACCCTAGAAAGGATCATATGACCCCTCCTGTGTGGGAACCCGGATGTTCCCTTCCTGGACCCGAAGGGCGTGTGCGTCGCGCCTCCACCCACAACGTGGAAAGTTCACCCCTAAGGAAGTAAAATAATGAATGAACGCTTGTATGGAAGTTAGTAATTTTCAAAGTTAGAAACGCGAAATAAGGAATATTTACGCGAGCGAATTCGCAGGCAATAGCTAATCATAAAATGTATGTAATAAAGAAACTAAACGTTACATTGATCTCCTGTAAATTAATATTTACAGTTTCAAAACTTAACGTAAGGATAACGGAAGGTACATTTTTTTAGCAGTCCACTGCTAGACATAGGCCTCTCCTTAGAAAGGAGGTTTTGGCGTACTATACCACGCTGGCCAGACGGGTTGATATAGGGTTTGTGTCAAGTTTTCCTTCTCTTTGCAGTGCTGTTGTCCTGCGTAGTTTAGTCCCTTAGTCGGCTCTTACGACACCCACGGGATGAATAGTGGTGATGACACTCTGTATTCTTTATTCGTCACCATACGAACTAACCAAAGGTACGAATGAACAAAATATATTAGGTCATTCTTTTAGGAAGTCGAATTTCAAATTTATTTATTTATTTATACATCTTTATTGTACACCGCTACAGTACATATTGTACAGAGATGGATAGACATCGACATTTTGGTATTACAATTCTTAAGGTTTACTTTTTTTAAACGAAATTAAAGGGAGATTCTCTGACCACGCAAAGTGGTCAAGTTTTGGCCGCGGCTCATTGGTTTATATTAAAAATATATACTAAACGTTAAATGTTTCATTAATATATATTTCAAATGTCTAAAATGATTAAGTACGTTTATTTCTTGGTCTCAAAGTTGAAAATTTTAACTTCTTGGAGCAAAACTGCTACAGTTTTTTACACCAACTTTCTTTTACAAGGGTTTATAGGCTACGATGAGCGCTAGATAAAGAATTATATACATAAAAAATTATATATAGAACTCTTACAAAGAATACCTTTTTAAATTGCCTTTTTAAATAAATCTGCTTGCCGTTTTTGTGCTTTACCGATTGTACAATGGCCGGTCAAATCCTTTTCTTTTAACTTCGCTAATACTTTACTCTTTACATAGCTAAGTTAACGAGAGGCTCGTGGCTAAGTCTTAACCGAATAGGTTAACACATTGTAAAGTTAAGCAACCCTAGACAGGTCAGTCTATGGATGGGTGACCATTTTTAACACATTGAGTAACGTGTAACGTGCCTCGGAGAGACCGTTAAGCTGTCATCAACATCTGCGGCCATCGTCACGGGTAGTTGGAGCCCTAAAAATCCGACAACAATCTTTCCACAGAACTCCGATATCGCCTCCTAGTACTTGAGTTGTGCAGGTCCGATGGCAGTCACTCCACGTAAAACATCTAAGTTCAGCCGTGTCGTAGTAGACTTAAAGCCGACCCCAATCAAGTTTAGGAATAAGATATGCATAGATTTTCTGTAATAAAATTATTAACAGTTATGGCTATTGCCAAAGAGAATAAAAGCTCTATAGTTGATTAAATTTAAACTCACCAAAATTATTGAATATGTAACTGACAGTAATGAAACAAATGCCGTTACCGATTCATTTCATAATAATAAACCGACATTATGCATGTTCACACCTCAAATTATTATTAAAGCGATGAAAAGAACGGAATCAATAATAGGATGAATAGGATTTGCATATCTGTCGCCATCTTGGCTGTAAAGGGCAGTGTTCGGTGCTCGAAACAAAAAAATAACAATTCGAAATTTGAATCTCTAAGCTCGAGTGTCCTCAAGAACTGCGCATTGATTGAAGACTTTTTATTTGTATTTTGATTTGATAAATAAAATGGGGGATAGATTGGTTTTGTATTTGTTAAGTGCTTTTTGATAAATAT